TGAACACTGTCTGTAAGTGTCCATCATGTTAAACCTCAATAAACTCTTGAGAAGGGAAAAGACAAAGGGATCCATCAGCAATCGAATAGCTGTGGTCATAATTCCATTGACTTCCATTCAACCCAAAAGACATTAATGTTGATAAAACACTCCATTAGTGCAAATAGCATATTACACGAGTGGTTCTTAAATAACCATTGCACAGACTCCTATTTTTTGACCTTAGAATACTTTGTTACTGCTAATTTTGAAAGTGGCACTATTCCCAGTACTAAAAAAAAAATTGGAAATGGCAGCTCTAAAAAATATGCAATGTATTTTCAAAACAGCAGACATTTGATATATTCTGATCATTTTTAAGCTGTTAAGGTGGTCGCTCTTCGATTCAAACATCTTTTGGCATTTAAACACATCTGTTTTGTTTTAACCATTGTGGATTTTTATGAATTTTGTGGCACAACCAAACAGCTGTTTGAGAGCAAAGTTGAACTGCGTAACTCATTACCTCATGTACCTTTCTAAACAGTCATTCAGACCATTTCTCAATGAAAACAAACGTGTCTCAGCTGAATCAAACTTTAAGCTTTGAGAGCTGTTTTTTTCCTCATTGCCTCATTGCTAAAAAATAATGAACTGACATGTCAAGGTCTGTTGTTTATTATCAGAAATATATGCTTATCCTCCATTTGAATGTACTGTATAAATTGTGTAGGTTTTTCATGGTCTCTCCCACAAGCTTTAGTACAACATGCTTTTTCCATCCTTGTATTGGCATTTCACACTTCACATATTCCCTTACAAAACACTGCATCTACATTGTCTCTTTGTTTTTCTGATGGGAGAAAATACAATGGAGGATGAAAGAGGCTGGCATTAAAATCTGTGCACTGTGGCTACCACAAAGGAGGAGAGACCAGACTTGTGTAGAGCAGCGAAAGCAGGCAGGGTGTTATACTGATAAAAAAAAAACGAGAGAGCGAGAGCGAGCATACAGCTATACCATTCTCTGGCCGCTGCCACCAGCTCTTGGCTCAGTTCCCATTCTTTTAGTGAGTGCTACCTGTCAAGCCCTGAATTATACAGCCCTGGGCTTCAGCCTACGTGAGTCATCCATCAGAAAGGGAGGGAAAAAGGGAGGAGGAGAAAGAAGACTGGAAAGAGGGATGGAAAGAGCCGCAGAAGGAGTAAGGGAAAGGGTGAGGAACAAAGAGACAGGATGTGGGGAAGATAAAAAGGAGGAGTGTGGAGAGGAATAGAAAATAGGAAAGTGGAACAAGAGAGAGTCACAGATGGAGAGGAGGAGGAGGAGAAAAAGAAAGAAAGAAAGAGAAAGAGAGAGAAAAGGGACACTAAACACAATTTGCACAAAACAGTTACTAAACCCTGTTAAAATCATAGCTGTCACACCTGTACTGACACATCCTCTTATTACGAGTCTCTGCATTTGCTAAAAGGGATACATTAAAATGGAGAATGCACAGATAACATGTTTTTAGGAAAGGTATGCAACACGGAAGGTGTAAAGGTGGATATTTTTTTAGATAACGAGAAAATGGCACATTCAAGGATACCTCTTATGTTATTTCTAACATTTTAACATGAATGCAACACCATTGGTCCATTGCAGCAGCGCAGCAGCCATTATAATTAGGAGGAACATTACATTTATAAATTTGTCTCACCACTTTTTTAGCTTAATAATTATATTTTAAGAACTGAATTTGCCCACTTTAGTGCCCACTTTGCTTTTCAAATACTGGGTAAATGTTATGTGATGTAATTTATATTTATTGATCGCTTCTAATCTTTATTAACTGCAATAAATGTGTTACGGTGCAGTTACATTTACTGTTGTTAATTTCGAAAGGAATCCATGAAATCAGGAGTTTCATTTGACGGCGGAAAAGTTCCCCATGCAAATTTGCTGCGTTGACCAACATAAAGCTGCTTGGTTTGAAAATTACTTTGTGAGCTGTTCTTCATGCATTGCACACTATTAACAACAGACCTGCGAAAATGCACCAAAATTTTGCTAATGTGAACACACCTTTAGCAATTTTAATTAAACACTGCAAACACTTCGTTTACTAATATTATTATTCTGATTCGTCAATCACTACAATCGGTGGTCAGATTTTTCCTAATATCCACTGCTGTCTATGATAATGCTGCATATGAGGTCAATAATCAGGTTAACTGAAACTGGCACTACTTTCATGTTTTTCGTATCACTCTGCAAACACTCTGGAATGGATCTGTCGCTACTTCAGTTTCATTGTGACTTAAATTTTACTATAATGTTGTGGTATTTGCATATGACTTTAATTCAAATTAATATTTTATATCCATGTATTTACCTATTTGGTGAGACTCATATAATGAGCCAGTGTTTTATTACAAAATAAATCCCTTACATACACTGTTAGAAAAATAGGTAACACTTTACAATTAGGTTCATTAGTTAACAGTAGTTAACTGTATTAGTTAACATGAACTAAGCATGAATAATACTTCTACAGCATATATTGATCTTAGTTAATGTTAATTTCAACATTTACAAATACATTATTAAAATCAAAAGTTGTATTTGTTAACATTAGTTAATGCACTGTGAACTAACATGAACAATAACTGCATTTTCATTAACTAACATTAACAAAGATTAATAAACACTGTAACAAATGTATGTTCATGTTGGTTAATACATTAACTAATGACAACTTATTGTAAAGTGTTACCGAAAAATATGCAAAAAAATGTTTACATTTAAGGGTACAGCAGCTTGTTAGTAGGGCAGTATCCTTGAAGGGACAACTTTGTACCTTATCTACCCTTAAAAGCTGCATATTAGTACCTTAGAATAGTAATGTGCACTTTAAGAGTACTGCACCCGTAAGAAGCCATTGTACAATTTTTGTGTGTTGTGTGTGCATGCTATGAAGCGCAAAAGGCCGATGTACACATAATGTTTTGCCCTGAGAAGCCATTACAATACATAAACTTACAATGTATACATTACATCAGTTCATCCCCCATCAGAGCAGCTATACATTAGGGGTGTGAACCTCTGCTGTGATATAACCCAATGTATGCCGCAGGAGACAAACTCTGTTGTGGTTTTGTTATTATTACTCTTTAATGGAGTGGTAAAGGGCAGCAGACGCTGCGTAGCCTGCACAGGTAACGCAGTGTCCTCATTACAACCCTGCCATTCCCACAAATGCCCCCCAAATGTTAGCATGCTCTGACAGCACAGTCGGAGCGCCGTTCCCTCCCCACCCTCTCATTTGGGGGTAATTCATCACTCTCTCGCCCTCTCTCTGCCTGCCTTTTCAGTGAGAGGCCTGCTGGAGGTACCATTTGTCTGTTGCAAAAATGCAATTCTGGTTGGTGGTTCACAGGGCTGATGAGGTGACACAGTAGATGTATCCATCAATCTTTTCTGTTCTGCCTCTCTTGTTTTGTATCTTTCTTTTGAGGTACAGTAAATATCATCAAGAGGAGAGACTATTAAACATGGAAGTTGAACAGACTGAGAGTAACTTTGACAACAGTTGTCAAATCAGATGCTGTTAGCTTTGTAGCTATGTGAAGAAACTGGTGCCAGTGCAATGAAAACCTAAATATTTAAAACGCTCTACTTATATCAGTGTAAACATGAATTAACTCAAGTTGCTTGTTAGCGAAAAGTTGCGATTTTTATTGCTTCAACAATTTGTCCTTAAAAAAGCTTTTTATCAAACAGGAAACAAACAGCACAATCTTGCTAGACACTTGACAAGTTGATTAAAATATTAATGATGTCACGCCTATCATCCGATAGGCTTCACGCATTCCCGATGTATGCTAATGAGACTCAGATATTCCAGGGTAGCAACAGACCCATTGTCCATTTACATCCGTTTTTAAAGGGACAGTTCACCCAAAAATGAAAATTCTGTCTTTATTTACTCACCTTCATGTTGCTCCAAATCCATAAGACTTTTGTTCATCTTTGAAACATAAAAGATATTTTTAATTAAGCCTAGGAGATTTCTGTCCTTCCACTGAAAGTCCATTCCACCAAAGCTTTGCCGGTTCAACAAGTTCATAAGTAGAAAAAAGAAACCCACATAAATCGAGAGGTTTAATCCAAATCTTCTGAAGAGACACGATCTTTTTGATAAACAACATATAATACATATACAGAGCTCATCAAATATAGTGAACGGATGCTCAACTTGACACGTGAGAACAAACAGTGGCTCTTTTGCTTTAAGCAAGCAGTTTTGACCTTCAGTTTGTCATATTTAATGAGCTCTATGTATGTGTGTTGATCAGTGTTAAATGTGAATAAAAGCCTACATTAAATCGGTTCATCATACACTGAAAACATTTTGGTAGTAAAACAATTTTCACTCATAAATTGCAATGAAATTTCACAAACAATTGCAAAGAAATGGCAAGCAACTCATTGAATTAAACATGGCATTTGACATGAAGTGTATGAAGCGGTCTCTTTAGAAGATATGGATTAAAATGCTCGAATAATATTTTACATACATTCTTTTGAGTGATCTATCCCTTTAAGTCTACAACAGCTACATTCAAACAGTTCAGTTACATGGAAAAAGTTTTTAGGGTACAAAGCACAAAATGCTAATACTGAGGGCTAATGTTAAGTACTGTAAGTACTGAAGTAAACCATTCCATTAAATTAATAAATTCTTTACCGCTAAAATCCAGAAAACATATCCTACTTTGTAAAAACACTTCACTTTAGTAAATGCCAGCTCTGTTTCATTGCAGTTTCACATCTTTTAACTGCACTTTCACAACTTTTGGCTGGTAAAAGGATGTACATAAAGAAAAGAAAGTAGGTCTTATTCAAATTCAATTGACTTAATTTTGCTATTGGTCTTGAGCTTTTCTGTAAGTGGCTAAGTGCTTTTGTTCTTGCAGCCTTAAAGAGACTTTCAGGGGTGGGCACACATTCATATGAATGAGAGGCTGGTTCTTACCTCCTGTGTCTTGCGTATTTACCGCTGACATGTCCACTACCATCACATCCAGGTGTGGGACAGCTGCAGATGAGAGAAATAATTAATACAAGACTGACGTCACACATGTGCACACGGACACACATATGCTCGTTCTTGCTGACTATGTTCGAACCATGGAACATCGATCGGCCTTCATTACAGATTTAGAGAGCTCCCAGTGTCCTCCAGGCCGATGACTCACCAGGCTCCATATTTCATATTTCATATTGTGTATTCCCCTCTTCCTGCTCCATTTAGGTCCACAGCCAGTTAAAAGCCATGAGGGAAAACATCCAAGTTTAGAACTCCTGCCCCACTCGAGCTCAGGGTCAGAGCAGCAAACCAGTCATTAACATGAAACTACCCACATTAGTTACAGTGTCAGTGATTGCCTAAAGTATTCAATAAGCATTTACTTGATTGGCAGTGGTATTTCTGTGTCTATCAAAAGTCACATTCTACCAGTACTGGACAGTGAAGCCTGTTTCACGCCACACGCACAAACAATGTGTCAGTGAAGCAGCAGCACAACGTTAACAGCATCCTTGAATTGTGCATTCACACTAAATGCAACACAATAAACTAGAAAGCATACAGTTTTGTAAACTAGAAAGCATACAGTTTTGTAATATTTGTATTATTGAACAGCAGCATTTATACACTACCATTCAAAAGTTTGGGGTCAGTAACAATTTTAAATACTTTTTATTTAACAAGGACACATAAAAATAATCAAAAGTGACTTTTTATATGGTGCATGTTTTAAACCTGAAGCTATTTTAAGCTTAGAATTTAGCAAAAGAGTAGGAAATCAAATGGGAACGTGTCTCAAATCTGGCCTATAGCACAAGAATTGCATCTCCCCATTTATGATGTTGGCTAGGGATCTGTGTCTGATCAAGCTGGTGACCCATCAGTGAGTGTAACTGGTGTTAAAGATGCCTGCAGCTACAGGCCAGGACCTGCTGATGAAGCAGATTGTCCTAATGATTGGGAAGGAGAGAGAGAGAGAACAGAGGGAATTTCACTTCTCTTCTAAGTCTGATACCATAATAAAGATGACATAGTAGAGAGCTGCCTCTGGAAAACCGGTCATACCACACACCCTTGTGTTCTAGCTGCTGTCATTGTAATTGGACACGTAGCCAGAAAATATAAAAAAAGAGCCTTTTTTAACAACAGCGTGGGTGTTAAACCATTCATAATGAGGAAAATGCTGCTATTTAGCAGGGCCTGTAAATTGTGCTTAAGGGAAAGATATGCAGGGGAAAAAGTGACGGGCAGATATGAGTAAAACGACTCACCGCCCTGGAGGAAAAACAGGCCATTCACTCTCATCATGATGCATGATTTCATTAGGAGTGCAGGGATATTTACTAATACTAATTGGGAGAATCATATATTCTCACTAAAGGCAATTACACTGAAATGTCTATTTAGAGGTTCTGCCTGTAGTACTTGCCATATTGAATAAATCACAACGAAAAATATCAATTAGCAAAATTATACTTAGATGCCACCTTGAACAGAAATGAACATTGAGTCATATACCTGTTTTAGTCTTTAAAGACAGAAATTGCAAGTTGAGATAGCATCTGTGAGCAAACCAGTTCAAGAAAGTACCATTTCCAAATTTTTAAGTTAGTCACTTCTTTGTACTAGGTAACTATTAGTTAGACATAAAGACAATCCTGTGCTACATGAAAACCAACATGAAATCAAAATCAAGCTTATTTACCAAACATTTATGATCTTAAAATTATAAAACAAAATACATTAAACTACCATTCAAATGTTTAGGGTAGTAACATTTTAAGAAATTAATACTTTTATTCACCAATGATGCAATAAATTAATTAAAGGTGACAGTAAATACTTTATAGTGTTACAAAAGATTTAAATTTTGCATAAATGCTGTACTACATTTAACAGAAAATACTGAAAAAAAGTTTCCACATAAATTTTAAGCAGCACAGCTGTTTTCAACATTGATAATAATAACAAATGTTTCTTGAGCAGCAAATCAGCATATTAGAATGATTTCAGAAAGATCATGTGACACTGAAGACTGGAGTAATGGCTGCTGAAAATTCAGCTTTGCTATACCAGCAATAAATTACATTTTAAAATATAAGAAAACTGTTATTTTAAATTGCAATAATATCTCACACTATTACTGTATTATTTTACTGTGTTAAAAAAAAATGCAGCCTTGGTGAACATAAAAGACTTCTTTCAAAAACATTAAAATTTCCTACCCACCCCCAAACTTTTGAATGACTAGTGAATATTAAATGTGCTTTTTTTTTTTTTTAATGTTGTCATTTGGATTTTTTTCCAGTTAAATATCCTGTTTAGCTCATAAATACATCACATTATGAAAGTTAATAGGTTGCAAACTGTAAGTGAATGATTCCTGTACTGTATGCAGACTGACCTGAAAAGCTCTTGTGCAGCCTCCACAGCAACTGCAAAAAACATGAAAGCGAGAACAGTTAGTGAGGAAACATCTCAACATGAGCGTTATCACACAATGGAATCATATTATTATGAGCAGACTAATTTTCTGGGCTCTTCTGGTTCACTTGTCCAATCAGTAGCCCAGGTTCATCACTACTGACGTCAGTGATGATTTGTGAACGTCAATAAAATTCTCAGTTATGGACTGAAAGTGGGGAAATGGATTTGGCCATAGGTTGAGACTAGAGCTAATACTATGTGAGTGCGTTGTACCTCACACACCTTTAGATCGTGTTCGATGACGCTTTTTGGCCTCATCCACCTCCATCTGAAGAATAAAAGCAGCAATTAGCCTGACCTCCATCTACTAGCTACTGTGAAAGCAAGTGTAAAAGGTCAATGATGTCTGCAGCAAGGATGGTTATGAACTGCACTGAACTGCACGAGAGACAGATCATAGATGATAAAAGAACATGTTTATTATGAAAAATACAGACTGTGAACCACAGATAAGTATTGGTCATGCAGTACATGTGGCTATAATGCATCAGTGTTTATATTGTATTAAGAGCTATGCTGTGTCTCATTCTGTGCCCTAGTTGCCAGCGTTGTGAATCAGTTTATAATGAACACAAATTTGGGCACTTGCATGGGTCTTGATTCACTGACCACTAGGAAACATCACTGTATAGCATGCCAATATCCTTTTGTTATGAGTTGTTTATCTTACATTGTTGTTGTGGCTTTTAAAAGTGCAGTGTCATTATAAAATATGCACTTGTCCTGATTTTTTAATCAAGAAAAATAATTATTGTACATACAGTACATAATGGCATTAAGACATTCAAACATATACTTTACTTTACTTTTAGTCATTTAGCAGACGCTTTTATCCAAAGCTACTTACAAATAAGAAAAAGTAATTCAAACTAAAAGCTAAAACTCTATAAATACTATAGATATACACATTTAAGAAAATAAAAGAAATTAAATAAAAATTACAAATGCATACAACAACATTTCAAAACTAAACATTTAAATGAAAACAAAAAATAAAGCTAAAAACAATTCAAAATATTAAAAGAACAAAAGGTGAGTATAATAATGATTCTAACATAACACTAAGCCAAATACCAAAAAACAACTACATATGTGTATGTACAGCCACACACATATACATATACATGTACATATATATAAATACATTCAATATATATATATATTATTTCATTTCCATTTTGTATGTTGAAGTACTGAAATAACTCAAATGAAATAAAACTAAAACTTAATAAAAAACCTATATAGACATAATAAAAAAACTAATAAAATGACAACATTACTACAACTGTAACTAAAACTAAAATAGATAACTAATACAAATCAAACTACATTAGTTTATCAGTAATCCTAAAAAAATAACACTGAGCCAAACACACATGCTAAAATAACAACAACTTACTGACACATAGTAAGAAATGGTTATAAAAAACTGAAACAGAAGTGAAACAAGTAGCAGGAAAGAGGAGAAATAAAAAGCGATACTTATTATATAAACAATAACAAATCTTGTAAGTACTTTAATTCTTGTGCAATACTTTAAAGTTTCCAAGATTGCTTCTCTTGCACTTTAGGGATAATTAAAAGCAAAAATATAAGGCTGTGTTTTCTTACAACTTGAAAGACGTCAGAACACATGAATATAGAAAGGACTTGATGCTCGGTGCATTCTGGGAATGAATGTGCACTGGAATGATTTTAACAACAGGACAGCAAAAACAACTCCTTGGTTAGTGTACTTAGTACTAGGAATGCAACACATCCAACACAGTTTTCTTTTTTAATCACGGTTTTCGTTATTGTAATCATGTGTTATACTGTAAGATGCTACACACATGAGTAGTCTTTCATTTAAATTAGATGGTATAATTTCAACATTTGAAGCAAAAACAAAATGGTCCGACTTTAGCTTTTTGAAATTATACATAAAACATCTCTGTACAAGACAGAAACAGCAGACGGGCTGAATGAGAATGCAAATTCACTCTCTGACAGCAGGTGGGCTTATGGCATAGCGTTTCCTTGGTTACTGCTATACAAAAACAGTGCTTTACTTATGCTTGTGGCATCTCTTCTTAATACTGTATACCAGGGAGCAGATTGAGACACCCTCCTATTCTTCTAGTGCTAGAACGGGTTCTATATATATATATATATATTGCTGTTTCTTTGTTCAGGCCAACAAAACATGATTCAACATGCACTACCGTTCAAAAGTTTGAAGTGATTGTGAAGATTGTTTTTTTTTTTTTATAAAAACAGTAATATTGTGAACACGTTATTTAAATTTAAAATAACTGTTTTCTGTTTTAATATATTTTAAAATGAATGCAGTTGATTCCTGTGATGACAAAACTGAACTTTCAGCAGTCATTACTCCAGTCTTCAGTGTCACATGATCCTTCAGAAATCATTCTAATATGCTGAATTAATGCTCAAGAAACATTTCTTATTATTATCATTTATTAATGTTGAATACAGTTTAATATATTTATGGAAACTGGAAACTGATTCTCTGATAAATAAAAAGTTCAAAAGAACAGTGTTTGTTTGAAATAGATATATTTTTTAACATTACAAAAGTATTTATTATCACTTTTGATTAATTTAATGTATATTTGCTGAATAAATAGCAAATAGAAAACTGTACTGATTCCAAACTTTTTAAGGGTAGTGTAAAAATACTTTATTGCCCAGAACAAACAAAAAGTAAAGCACATTACCTGAGATTTACTGGTTGGTGGGACAGATGTGTTTTCTGAGGAGCGCCTCCTGTGTGGTGTGATTAGGCAGAATCGTCCGCTGTGTGTCCCTCAAAGCTGTTCCTCAAAACTCATTTTCTGTTAAAGGAAAAGAATGCACCATCATTTGTCATGAACTGCAGTCGTGTTAAATCTGCAGACTGATATGCAGTACTCTTATAAGAAAAGACATACAGATGTCTGAAGTTATTCACGGCCTCCATTATCACAGTATCACAGCAAGAAAAAAACCCCTGTCATTCTGCTTTTGTTTTAAAATATAATAAGTGACAGGAGCAGCTTTTTTAAGTTCTGGAACATGCTCTGTTCATAAGGAATAAAGTCACCTATATTTATTTTTTCTGCCTTTAGAGTGAAAGTTGTACAAAAGGTAAATCACTGGAGAGTTTTTATTAGAACATTTAAAATAAAGAAACAAAGTCACTTGATTATTTTCTGAGGTGCTTGTTTATAATAATATGATATAATATAATATAATATACATAACAACAAACAATGTCTTTTCTTTCAGAAAACCATCTTTCAGCCACACATTGAGTGTTCCAGTCCTCTGTCAACAAGCTAATACTTCTCATCTCATACTTCTTGCAAATCGTGTTAATGTGTGTGCTGTTGGTGCACTTGGGGTGTGCGTGTGTGCGAGAGAGAGAGAGAGCGAGAGCGAGAGAGAGAGATTCACATATGCATGCAAGTATTTGTCAGCTCCAAGGCCAGTGACACAAAGGGTGCTCTCCAAATGCTGGAGACGTCTATTGAAAACCTTTCAATGACAGAAATACAGACTTGAACAAATTTCCTTAGAAAGATGGATCTCTGTGCGTAACACCTCACGTCTGCTTCGCACACAAATATGCGCTCGCTCTCACGCTGCCCCTCTTTCCGCTGATAGATCGCTCAATCACTCACACTGGAGCAATATGGGACGCTCTCATCTGAACTTCACTTGGTCAAATCAAAGCATATGAGCTCCAGCTGTCCCCCAGTGGCAGCGATAGCCCAGCTTGCTTGTAATTGAGGGAAAACACTGTTTAGTATTCATGCCCAACACCCTTCTGTCTCACATAAAGTGGGACATACAGCTTTCAAATCGAATTATCTGTCTCTCTCTCTCTCTCTCTCTCTCTCTGGAGTGGAGAAGTATGGGCTCTTTTAGAAGAGTCTGCAGTCTCAGAGCTCTGCACGTTCTATCCAAAAGCAACATTTCCCCATGCGAACCCAGCATACCTGTGGGCTGCGTTGCACACATTACACAGCTTCAGTTATGACAGCAGATAGCCTCAGGTTTATCTGAGCTTGCCAAGGTTTTGATTTTTGAGGATTAATTCACCCAAAAATGAAAATTCTGACATCATTTACGCACCCTCAAGTTGTTCCAAACTGCTATGGCATTTTTTCTTCAGAGGAACATAAACAGGGAAAAGAGTGGTGCATATGACTTAACAGCCAAATGTTTATTTTTTTGAGAGTCAGATCTTTTCATTGAATCATTTAATGTAGTTCACAAAGCCAGTCTGAATGATCTGTTCACGAATCGGTTTGTGTGTTCAGCTCATTGATTTGGTCACAGCATTAACAGCTCACTGGAGGGGAAAATGTCAATAAATTACAACTTAAATGCTGTCTTTTTCAGACAAAACTATCATATAAATTGGAAGTTAGCACAGTTGTATGGACCACTTTTTGATACTTTGGTAATTTTGCATATTTTCTGAATCTTATAAGCATCTAATTTCATGGAATAGAAATGTTCTTTTATTTTTACAAGATAAAACTGGCAGCTGTGGTTGCCAGAATAATTATGTATAAAATACAGCAAAAATGTAAACAGCTTTACAGAATAACCTATATATTCGACAGTTTAAAATTGTTGTAATTTTCAAAAAAAATAAATGTAATCAGTAAATCCAACAGCCATTTAGCATAACCATGCTGATACTAATCTTTGTTTTTATTTTTATACTTAAACACACAACCACCATAATAGCACAGGTGGTAAAGTGAAAGAAACAAAGAAATAAAGATTAATCAAAGATCATCATCAGTATCACAAACTGAGGTAAATACATAGAAATACATTCTACTACACAGAAGCTGCATGTACTTTTAACCAATCAATAGGTTTTTACAGTACACTGTAAAAAATAAATCATGGGTCTTGTCATTTTCACTTAAATAAAGGTGATAATTAAAAATATTGTGTATATTTGATTAAAGAAATTGTGGTTCAGTGTTGTATAGAAAATATGAAGAACTTTTCACTAATAAAACCAAGAGATTATTTTTTCCTCATTTTTTAAGGAAACTTAAGCAGTTTTGAGGCTTGAATTGAGGAACTGATTAAACTGGAAAAAAAATTTAAGAAAGAAGGCTACCTATTTATTTTAAGATAATTAGCTCAATTTTGTAGTTTTATTTTGCCGGTGATTGTTAGTTCCCAGCATGCTTTACATATGGCTGGATATGGAGAGTAAATATTGAAATTAAGTGCTACTTTAAAAGTGCACAAAAAAGTGTGTTTTTGCATAAAGGGAAACATCTATTAACGTTTAAGTTTCAGTTTTGTCATGACAAATTTCGGAGGGATTGGCATGGTAATGTACATGACAATGTTAATGTATTTGGTCTTGGCGGTATAGATCTGCTATGCTGCTGCTGCTGCTGCGGCAGAGCAAGTACCGAGACTTGCTACTGCCAATACACCCACAACATGCTGCTGTGAGCATTTCAGAAATATTGCTGCTGCAAATATAACATACTGTACATGAAATAACCCCCATATAGCATACATGAATCACCTCGTAGCAGATCTATACAGGTGGAGCTGGGGAAGGTGGTGGGTTTCTGAAGCAAGCTGCAACTGCTACGGCAAGCACTAGTCATATATTTGAATTTTGAGCAGCGAGCTCATTGGCTACCGATACAGGAGAGAACCAATCAGCTGTGCCATGTGATAATGACATCATTAGGTCAGATTGAGTTAGACCCATCGGACTGTGCCATCTAGAATAT